CATGCCCATGAATATCCCTTTAACACCCCCGCCCAACCCATGAAAGATAATAGTGATTCAAACTTCGTTGAACCGAATAATAAAATTCTTCCAAATTTGACCACAAGTGGAAGTTGAACTCTTAGTCGTTGGGCCATCAGTTGGTAGCTCATCTGATTCATACAAACATTTAAGACAATTTTCTATTTAGAGTATACTTATTTGACTCTAAATATAAAAATTGAATCACTAATTTACATATATTAAGAAAATTAATTAAATTATCCATTTGAAAAGAATAAATGTTACTTTTCTTAAAATATTCCATTTGATCATTACCTTATTAATTAAAAGCTCTTTTTAATATATATGATTAATAAGAACAACTTGTAAAAAATTATAAATTTAAGATGTAAAGTACTATCTCCGGTCTTAATTATAAAACTTTATTTATAAATTACAAATAAAGTCTTATATAAGGTCTTATAATTAGGACCGGATGTAGTATATTGAGATACCAGTTAACTTAATTACTCAGGAGTCAGGACTGACAAGAATTAATCATGCGATGAAGAAGTCAATAAGTATGTGAGTCCCAATTAAAACATAATGGCCAAAAGCTTCTTCCTTCACGGCACCATCTGGTTTTTATACCCCGAAGTGGTTTCAAAATAGGCGTGTGACGGACATGTGCGCGGGTTCCTACCCTGTGGCCTGTGGGGAGGGTTGAATTGCTACTAAAAAAATTGAAAAGAGGAAAGTGAGAAGGAGAATATAAAAAGTTGTACTACTTTTTATTCTTAATATAAAAATTAGATAATTAACTTAGCAAAATTTAAAAAAATACTTAAATTAAATATTTGTATCAAATATATATTGATTTTTTTAATTTATCTTATTTAATCATATATATTGGAACTATTTCTGAGTAAAGATATCTTACAATTACTAGAAATATTTTAAATATATATATAAATTTGGGAGAGAAATTGAATTCCCCAAAGGTGGTATTTAAGTAATCTTTTATAGAATATCTCCTTGTATCAGTTTAAATCCACTTGTGCTTGAAATCATACATTTTTTCAATCTTTGAATTATAAAAAAACTTCTCCTAAAACACACACACACACACATATATATCGCGCACACACTTTAGTATAATTTTGAGTTTCAAGTAGTCCTATTAGCTAAAGGTAAAAAGAAAAAAGGTAGTCCTATTAGCTAAAATACGTTTTTTATTGACCCAAACATGTACATTTCTAACTCAAAAAAAAAAAAAAAAAGACAGATGGGATTTTGGCAAAATAAAAATAAAAATAGATGTCATAATTATTGGGCAGGCTTGCTTAAGTAAAAGTCAGAAATATGCACGTATGCCATAATTTTTTTTTTTTTGACCAGCGCACGTATGCCATAATTGAGTGATTGCAACCAAGGAACAAAAAACCGGACCGGGAGCTAAACCGGTCGAGGCAGTGGGTCAAGGGTCACTGGTCGGACCGGAGGTCGGACCGGGGTCGGACCGGTCATATTAAAATAATATAATTTAATCCACAATATTCTGTGTCCCCTCTTTTTTGTATGCAATATGTGCCCATGCAGGATCAGTTTTGGTACGTAATGAAGAAGTGGGTGTAGGAGTGGAAGTTTCAGTATTAGGAGTGGAAGATCCCGTATTAGGAGTCACATTGTCACTTCTTGAACTTGGATTACTTGAAATATCCATCACTGTTACTAAATAACAAATTAAAAAAATCAAACATCTGGGGTTCATTGCTATGGGATTAGCTCAGATAATATAACATCACTGATTAAAAATCAAAGATCAAATTGATAAATTCAGATTTCATATGAAATATGCACTTTAAGTACTTGGATCTAATATTCAAACACCATTTGCATAAATTTTCAGTTTACGACCATATATCATCATGCCAATATTCAGATATGCAGAGTGCAGACCAGATATCATCATGCCAAAATTCAGTATGATCAAATTTCAGTTAACAAATCCTCTGTGCTGACCAGATATCATCATTCAAATAATCAAATAATGTTCCAAGTAAACGAATCATTGAATCAACCAGTATACTGTATGACCGAAGAACGCATATCATCATTCAAACGAATCAAATGATCTTTCCCGGAAACAAATCTCATATCATCATACACGATATTGTTCTACATTAGAAAAAGGAAACAAATCTCATTTTATCTAAGCCTAGCTACTTGAGAATTCAAACGGAAAAACAAACCCAAGAACGCACAAAACATGAGCAGTGACCGAGAGCAGGGCACGGTGATGATTTGATATCTAAGCCTAACTGAATGAAATTTACGAACCGGACAACAAGAGGCAAGAGCATAGAAGCGACCACCTGCAGCTCCGATGATGATTCTGCGACCGGGAAGAAGCAACGACGATGGGAGGCGACCACCTGCGGCTGCGATGCAGAGAAATATTTTGAACCACGATCACCGGCTGCTTCAACGTTCAACCTCGACGACGTGACGCGACGATCCGAGACCTCCGATGGCGAGAAAACTCCGGCACAATGAGTGATTCAGCTAGGGATTTTCGATTTTGGGGAGGGTGGCGACGGCGACTCGGCGAGAGAATCTGAAGCAGGGCGAGCGAGGTCGTTCGATTTGGACCAGACCGTGTTTGTTTTTTTTTTTTGGTTTGTAAATTTCACTGCTAAACGGCGCCGTTTCAATGGTTGGGGGATTAAAAAAAATAAAATATTCAAAACCGGACAACCCATCAAACCGCCGGGTTGCCCGGTTTGATCCGGTTATTACCGGTTTGATCCGGTTATTACCGGTTCAACTTGAGGCCGGTTTTTTTGGCCTCCCGGACCGGACCAGCCACCGGTTCACCGGTTTTCCGGTCGAACCGGCCGGTCCGGTCCGGTTTTTTTTACCTTGATTGCAACATATTATGTTGAATTATAAAGCTATAATCCATTTAGTTGGACACATACATGCATTTGATGAATTGAATCGCCAACCAAATGCGGAGACATTTTGACCCCTTTTTTAGGGTCAAAATTCAAAGTATGACACGAAGAATTGACAAAAGCGACCACCTCCACCACTACTATTCCAGAGGAAGACTCGAAGTTTGATTCCACTTCTGTTCTCTCCTAATCTATTGACAATCTCACTTCTTCGTCCTCGACTTGTGCTAATACTGTGACTTGACAGATTTAGATACAAGATTTTAATTTATTTTGTTTTTTAAATTTAAAATGGTTTTTACAAAAATATTCTCATTGAATAAAACATATTTTTATCTAAGTATAGTTTCAATATATATGATTGAATTAAGATAACTTAAGAAGGTTAACACACATTTGTTATAAATAGCTAAATTAATTTTTTTAGCTTTTTCAAATTAGTTATATAGCTCTTACCACCTTCAGTCCTTAATATAATATTTTATTTGACTTTTATTTTGGTTCTAAATATGATATCCTAATATACTTTTTCTCTCATATTTATCTTTTTTCCCTCACTATAATCCTTCTAATAATGGTAGTTCTAACTAATACACTTAATTAGTAACGTATTTTAGGAAAAGTATGACATATCTATTACAAATAACTAACTTAATTTATTTTCTTAATCTTTTCAAATTAGTAAATTAGCTCTTATAGTTAGGACCGGAAGTAGTATATTAAGTGCGAGTAGTATTACTTATATTATCACATGTCTGGGTTATTAAAGCTTTATAGCTTTAACAACTGCACGATTAATAATTAAATAAAATTACTACACAGGGTAGAATGATTCCCAAGCGTGTATATATGATTCAACTACATATAAATCTCATGAATTGAAGAAGCTTCTTGACCTCTCATAATCATAAGAAGAAGTATGGGCTTGGTGAAAGCACAGTCACAATTCAAATTTTTGACTCAATATCTCAGGTTTTACGATGACAGAGAGTAAGTCAAGATAATTTCATTATTAGAGATAAACAAAGCAAAAGATTAATTTTCAACTCTTTCAGGTGTTCTTGTCCAATTGAAAACGATACATGAGGTTGAATATTTGTTTTATTTTTATTTTTCACAAATTTAAAATATTTTATATCTATTATTAACAACTTGGGGTCGATCCGAGCAGTATGAGAAGGGTTATTGCAATTTTATATTTCGAAATATGCTTCTCACAATCATATACTTCAAAGGTTAAGTACGAAATTTAGTTTAAATAATGTAATATGTCATTATATATTTAATATATATTAAATATATTAACATATAATTCTAATTTCTTGATTCTACTCCCAATGTGAATATTTCATTAGTGGGTAATTTTCGAGTATCTATATGGATGATTGAGTCATAAAATCTGTTCTTTTTTTTCTTTTTTTTTATGCAAAGATGAAAAATCTGTTCTAATTTTGGTGCAGGAAAGAGGCATAACAAAAAACGTTTCTGGGTGAATGTTTTCAATTTCCAAACTGATGGGCTTGGGCTTTCCGGTTAAGGCCCTGATTTAGGTTGTTTTTTTGGGTACAATGATTATTTGTGTATTGCCCTTTGATTTGCCAGGAAGGCTTATCGGCAACAACAGCCTCCTACGTGGAAATTCCTTTTTCCCTTTTAAAAGAAAATCATGTTTGTTTCTTCAGTGCATAAGAAGTTAAGAGCTAACAAGAACTATAATGCTTGGCGACACACATAACTAATTTTATGGGCCCAAATTAAAATTTGCATTTTGACTTATTTGCCTCTAAATCATACTTAATTTTACTGTTTAATTTCATCATAGCGTATTGGTTGAGAAGCAAATGCCTAGCTTTTCATCATCCTTTCCCTCCCTTGTCCCACACTTAACCAACTAACCCCATCACCATACCTACCTTCTCTTGTTAGCCTCTCTGTTATTGTCCTTGCACTTGAAGAAAACACAAGCTTTACATATAAATGCCATCATTAGGGGAAACACTTGCTGGCTTGTTAAGACTTAAGAGTCTCCTTTCACTTCTTTCATACCCAAATATATTTCAAACCATTTTTAAGTATTCCAACTCTGCATTAAGTTCACTGCAAGGTTTTCTTATTTAGGATCATAAGAGAGGAGGAGGAAGAAGAAGAAGATAAGACAATGAGCACTACCAGATTTATCAAGTGTGTAACAGTTGGAGATGGAGCTGTGGGAAAGACTTGCATGCTTATCTCCTACACCAGTAATACCTTCCCAACGGTATGATTGCAAGTGAATCAGATTTGAAACTTTAAAGAGCCAGTAATGAAGCTAACTGGGTCTTCTTTTTCTGTTTCTGGTTTTATTTGTTTGATACATAGGATTATGTTCCGACAGTGTTTGATAACTTCAGTGCTAATGTAATGGTGGATGGTAGTTCTGTGAATCTTGGCTTATGGGACACTGCAGGTAGGTTACTGAGATGGCTCTGAAAATTGCATCATTTCTCTAAATAACATGGTGATTGTTATAGTTTATGCATTTTACAGGGCAAGAAGATTACAACAGGTTAAGGCCTTTGAGTTACAGAGGAGCTGATCTGTTTTTGCTGTGTTTTTCTCTCATAAGCAAAGCCAGTTATGAGAACATTTCCAAGAAGGTGCTTTTGTTTTTGCTTTCTTCCTCCTTTTCTCTACTTACAAGTTTCTAAGCTTGAAATGTAATTATTTTTCTTCTCAGATTACTATCACCCAAGTTTTACTTTTACAGTATCTGATGGAATTATTGGATTCCTTGACTAACAGTGGATTCCTGAGCTGAAACATTATGCTCCAAATGTGCCTGTCGTGCTAGTTGGAACAAAACTGGGTAAGTTGGATTCATCAAAGCAGCAATATTTTACATGACAATTTATGTTCAGCACGCGGCAAAAAGTCTTGGTCATAAAGTATAGACATTGAAATACTTCATATATCTGGGACTCTGATGACCTTAATCTAATGTAAATTGGTAAATCCAAATACCATTGTCACAAAAAGTATAAACGTGAAATATATACATAAAAAGTAACAAGGTGAAATCAACAGTGGGTGATATCCAGTAATTAAGAATAATAGAATTCTGTTTAGTACAGTGCAAACACAATTTTTCTTTCTGAATTATCCTTGATTTGGCTCCTATTTATACCCCTGGCGGAAAGAGGAAGAAAAGAAGAAAATAAGTGTACCATTAACATCTTGCAGCACTTTATTCAATTTGTTGCCGTCAAAACTTACATTGGTTTTGCTCAGATTTGCGAGGTGACAAGCAATACCTAAAGGATCATCCAGAAGCCACTCCAATAACTACCGCCCAGGCATGTGACATCTCCTTCATAACTTTCATGTGCATGTTATAAAATTTCTGAGGATTCTTGTGGAATTAAAAATGAATGGTATGTACAGGGTGAAGAACTAAAGAAACTGATAGGGGCAGTAACATATATAGAGTGCAGCTCCAAAACACAACAGGTAAAGGCCATCTTAAGAACATCACAGTGCATTCAAATTATGAAAAAGAGTGTTACTTTATTCTTTCTTTCTTCTGGTTTCAGAATGTGAAGACAGTTTTTGATGCTGCAATCAAGGTCGCCTTGAGGCCATTAAAGCCAAAGAGGAAACCACCCAAGAGAAGGACTTGCGCTTTCTTGTTTCAGCTTTTTTGACATGGAACCCCTATTTTTGCTTATCCCTAGCTTTGATTCTAAATATATTAAGACATTCTTGTGTTATTTGATTAGTTTCCTGGGGAAAGAATTCGTCTCAATAATTATTAGCCGTCCTTAGATTAAGTTAAACTGTGTTACTCTGCAGTTTCTTGCTGCTTATAGTTTTCTTGTTCTGTACTTGGCTTCATATAAATATCATTAGTGCAGAGGCTTTCTTTCTGGAAGTTGGAAATTCTCTTTCTGCAAATTCACATCCCCTGAATCTACTTAAGATCAAGATTAGATACTTATATTTGACATGACATGAATTTTATGTAATACTTTTTAGTTAATTGTACTTATTTTCTTAAATATTTCACATGTATCTCGTTAGAAGAGGGCAAGATTTGCCGTTTATGAAATAAAATAGTAATATCGCTTCTCTTGAGGTGCAAAGAAAAAAGAGTAACCCCGGATGCTCCTTCAATCCTTAATATAAGAACTAGTACTTATCCAATTTGAGTAAATTAAAGAAGTTAACTAAATTATTTAATTCTAACAAATGTGATATGATCTTTCTAAAATGCCTCTACATGATATTAGATTATGTATCAATTTATAAGTTAGATAAATTAATTTTAAAAAAATAGATTAGAATATTATATTTATATTAAAGATAAAAATCAACTTCCTGCCAATATGCATTGGGGAATCACGTGCACCAAAATTTAAGCATTAAATATATTGCATGTTGAATATTTATTGCAGGCACATTAGCATTTAGTGAAAGCGCAACTTAAGCTGCACCACCCATATCCCTCTCATGCTTTGCTTTACATTATCACCAAACACATTATTTATTAATATCATGTGCAGGCTCAACCCTTTCAAAACCAGTTTGGATCGTTTTTCTCATATATATCTAGAAAGCAAAAACAATAAAATAAAATAAAAAACCCAATAAAACCGCTTTCCACTCCCATCACAGAGGGAAAAAGAAGAAAATTTGACAATATGTGAACGCTGCTATAATCTTGCCAAGACTAAATAAACTTATAAATAGATACAGATATGTCAAAATGTATTTTTTTTAAAAACAAAATTTGATGGCTATTTATTTCACTGATAGCTTAAATGCAACTAACACTGAGGCGGTGGTCCAGGGAGAGAGTGATAGAGAGAGAAGCTGGCAAGCAGCAATATATGTATATCAGAGACAGAGAGTTTTAGTGATTAATTTTCATGTCATTTCTGGTGCAGACAAAACGGTAGGAACAGAAAAAAAGAGAAGATTAAAACAAAGGTTGAAAACAATAAATATGAACGTGGGCATGAGGAAAGCAGAGGATGGAGGTGCAGAGTAGGAAGAAGTAGAAGGAGTGCAAATTAATGGCGTAGTGGGGGAAAAATGAACAAAAGGAATGGGTTAATGGTACGGAGGGGACTGGTTTGGCTTCATAATAATGACCCAATATTTGCACTTTACTCTTCACTTATGAACTGTACGTACTGTAACTACTGGGGAGTTATGGCCTAAGGGCAAAAAGTAGAAGCCAAACAACAAGTTTGGACTTCTTCCCAGGAAGGTCTACCTCAGTTTCTAAAGTTGTTTGATGCGATTCTACTCCCACTTTTCTGTCCAGTTTCCTGTCTGTCTGCCCCTAAACACAGATCAGAGAACGTCATATCTCAAAATCTATGGATATGTGCTGATTCATTACTGCTTTTGATTCCCAATCTTTTGGCTCAGTTTATTATCATCCACATGCATCCTTTTTACTCTCTCTCTCTCTCTCTCTCACGCGCGCGCGTGCGCACACACAAACACAGCGTCCTGTTTGACATCAACATGCCACAACATAAACTTTGACAAACACAGGAATGTGTTAAGAGGAAAAAGAAAAGACAAAACAAAACTGCTTGTCTTAAGCAGGAGCCAAAATATGGATAATTATAACCACATGTTTGATGGGCAAGAACTTGCCAGATGAAATGGGCTGAAAACGGTTCTGATTACTGTTCCATCCAGGAAGCAGTCAAGCAGACGAATGTTATTGCGCAGCCAGGAATGTGAAAAGACATATTTGCCCCTGCAGATGATGGAGAAATGAAAGTGAAATGGAGAGTCTGATTCTCGTCTCCTTTGCATCTCATTCAACTCAATCGAGTGAACAGAGGAATTCGTTTAGTGGCGAAGTCAACCTAGCTAGATGTGCGATTTCTTTAATGGTCGTTTTCATCTTTTACTTCAGGGACACTACGGTCATTTTATATTATGTGTTCATAAATTATTATTATTTTTTTCATTTTCTTCATATATGCAATGAAATCTTGAGATGAGTGCCAAATTTGCTTGGGTAGGGCAAAAGGAAATGTTGATGGGGTTAAAGTTAAAACACATTAACCTGACGCGTTATAAACTCCTTCACACACGGTCACACAAATCAAAAGTAGTTTTTGAATGAGTTTTCAGATTCTTCAATTAATTAACTTTGACTTGGATTGAGATAGAATTAATGAATCGGTGTTATGAAATTCTGCAAAAGCTTAACTACAGTTAAGAAAGAATTGAAACTGAGAATACAATTGCCTGTGTATAATGTAGTGGAGAATAAATAAAGGTCCCTCGAGTCAATCCAAAGCTACCTTCCTTCACAATCACTAACTCCCTCACCGTTTTCCAATCAAACCCTAAAAGCCCCTTTTCTTCTTCTTGACTTTGAAACCACCCTTATTTATTCATCAACAACCTCTTCCATTAGAATAATCTCTCTTTCTCCCTCTTTACCATTATATATATATCTAGCTCCCATTAATACACCTGCAAGCAAACCCAGCCACACAAGAATCTGGAAAAAGGAAAAGAGACAAAGTGATCAGAAACCCACCCTCTTCTGAAAAAAAAGATCTCCTTCCATTCTATTACAGCTTTCTCTGCCATGTTTCTGAAGCCAAGATTCCTAATTCAGTCCCCAGCATGTTTCTCTTTCCTTGGTCTATTTGCTTCTAGTCCTGAGGGAATTACCTTCTACTTTTAATCCCCAGTGAACTGTTTTCCCCTCAATCTATTACTATTAATGCAAAGGTAAGTGCAAGGAGGAGCAGGAAATGGAGAGTAATTGTACTCCCCCCCCTCTTCGTTTTCCTTTTTATTTATCAATTTCCTGTTTCTGATTTTTCATCTACGTAAATAACAGGTATGACTTGTTAAATAACTGAGAAAATAAATCAAGGAGAACAGCGAGAGGGGGATAAGTGAAGAGTCTATATATACAAGAGGTTATGTATATGTCGGTAGTTAGCTAGCCTTGAGCAACAAAACGGCAGGCTATTTCTGATGCAAATTAGGTTTTCTCTTTAGGTTAAATATTCAGACTTGAGTTCAGTAATCATCTTCAACAATCGTCGTTCGATCATCATGGCTTCTTCTAACCCTAACAGACACTGGCCAAGCATGTTCAAGTCCAAGCCTTGCAGTAACTCCCTCCACCACCACCACCAATGGAAGCTTGACAATATCAACTCCCCTTTCATCTCGCCTTCAAGCTGCCACAGAACCTCTTACACATCTGGTTTGTAATTAAGCTTAATATTATCCCATCACTGCAGGGTTTTGTGAAAAGTTCTGAAATTTACATTTAAAAATGTGGCAGGAGTTGAGGAGGAGAGAAGTGCAGAGCCGAAGCCAAGATGGAACCCAAAACCAGAGCAGATTCGGATACTAGAAGCCATATTCAACTCAGGGATGGTGAACCCTCCAAGAGACGAGATCAGGAAGATCAGAGCCCAACTCCAGGAGTATGGCCAAGTCGGTGATGCCAATGTCTTCTACTGGTTCCAGAACCGTAAATCCAGATCCAAGCACAAGCTTCGTAATCTCCACAACTCTTCTAACGCCCACCAAACCCAAAACTTAAGCAATTCCACTCACAAAGAAATCATAACACCACCTAATAAGGCATTTGTGTCTAATATTGTCTTTTCCGATGTCTCTTCTGATATTGTAGTTCCCATTTCTTCTGCCCCGCGGCCACCAACACCGCCATCTCCAACTCCGCCTCAGCCTTTCTTCTTTATTCCTGGGCAGCAGAATGGAGGAGCTGGAACAGCGGCTAATAGTGCTGTTCCTGCTCCTATTACACAAGGTTTTTGCTTCTCTGAACTATCAAGTGTGGTTCAACCTGATGGTCCTCGTGATCATCATCAACAAATCAATGTTGGGTCTTGCACTAATAGTCTTTTGCTTAACGAAATCATGATCCATTCATTTTCCAAGAATGACCAAGAGAAGGTTATTATGCAAATGCAACAACACCTTCCAACCACTCACACTACTGTCCCTCCCGCCACTACCACCACTGTTACTGTTCCATCCCCCATCTCTCAGATTCAAGGTCATTATTAACTCTTTATGAAGTCAATTTTTAGTTAACTTGCTTGTGCATGGTAGGATTCACGATTCACGATTCACGCTGAACTTTAAGTCAACATTAATTCAATATTCCGAATGCGAATCTGCGATGCCTTTCTTGGATGAACGTGTGCATGGTTATAGCTTATTTTCTTGTCTAGCTAATGGATAATGGATCTTGTTTGGGTGAGGCAGGGACGGAAGAGGGCCGACCTGGTGCTCCGATGAAATCCACGGTGTTCATTAACGATGTCGCATTCGAAGTGGGTGTGGGACCCCTCAACGTGGGGGAGGCCTTCGGCGACGATGCGGTGCTCATCCACGCCTCCGGTCAGCCTGTGCTCATCGACGAATGGGGCGTCACTCTCCAGCCTCTCCAGCACGGCGCATTTTATTACCTGGTTCGCACGTTATCGTGAAACTTCTGTAGTTTCCTTTTTATATTTTCGAAGAGAAAATGGTGGTGGGTGTTATTAATGAAGGTGTGGGTAAAGTTGATTGTTTCAGAAGTTAAGGGCTTTTGACATTTTGGTTTTCCGTTTTTTCATTCCCTTATCTTGCAGGTTTGGAAGGAAGAAATATGTGGAGGAGGACGGAATGGGATTTAATTAGATGTGCCGTGTTCTCTCTCTGTGTCTCTCTGCTTATTATCCTGTGATTTTATTTGAGTTGCTGTGTGTTAGGGTATGGACTAGGGTTTGAGTTTCTCTATGGGGATGATGATAATGATTGCCAGTGGACATGTAGTATTACATTACTACATTAAAAGCGAAGTGTTTTTCATGTATGATGTATACGTGCGGGTCTATATCAGTCTAGCTATATATATATATATATATATATATATATGGGGTTGCCTAATTGTTCTAATTAAAACGAAGTTATATGGATATTTTCTCATTTTCTGCCTGGTTTTGTCCATTTGGGTTGCAGTTTTGCTATTTATTTGAAGTCAGCATTATATAGTGATAATGTAAGTCATAATTGTCCTGTAATATATGTGATGCCAAGCCTGGGCTTTTTTGACACGATATTGACAACCCTAGGTTGCGTTCTGCTATAACATTGCATTATGCTCCAAATCTTTAATTAGCTATAATAAACCTAATTTGTGAGTAATAAAATTCTAGTATGTGCCTATATTGTCAACGAATTAAAATCTATTTGACATGCAGTAGAAGACATAAATTCAACCAAAAAAGATATACAGGAGAGTTTAATATCATGGCATCGTCTACGACAATTATACCACAATTCTATTATATTGTACATTGACAATGTTGATAAAGAGCATAGTATATGTTCTAATAAAATGTAAACAAAACTTGCGTTTATTTAAATATAATTATCATAAAAATAAGAAAATTAAAGCTCTTTGGTATCCATATTCGCTACTGGCTTTTTGTTGTCTAGTAATCAAGTTACCTAGTTTTACTTTCAAATAGTGTTTGAAACAACAACAACAACCTGGAACGCTTAAGGTTACAGCAAATTAAATGCACCGGAAACCTCACCCATTGTATATGCCATTTAACAACACAAACCCATGTTGTCTGCGAGACTGCGACCATATGAAAGGTTCTGAACGTATCGAAACGTGACTTGTACTGCTCCGACTGAGAAGAAGCGATCGAATAGAAGAAGAGGATGAAAATGAAAGAAGGAGTTTGTTGTCAGAGAGAAACATGTATCTATATATATCTACGTACAGAGGTTGTATTATGTTACTTGATAAGGTCGCGTGTTGTCTGATGACAACAGTTTTTTGCTTTCGTATTGATGCGTCCCTTCGACTTGACTCTCCCCAACGATTGATTTTGATGGATCAAAGCAGAGTTTTCTTCCTTGTCTTCTTCTATGATCTTCTCTGCATGAACTATCCAATCATACGTGCTGCCTCTGGTACCCGTTTTTGTATGAATTATATTTTTAGTATCTGACTATTTGCACGCATGCGTACGTTGAATAATAATGGAATTGCTCATATATGCTTCAGTTTTTGGTATAGGTAAAGGAACAGTCACCTTGATGATTTTGTTTGTCCATAGGATTAATGTCTCTTGGTATTTGCATTTGCAATTATGTGAATGCAAATGACTGATTCATAAACATCATGAGTATTTTATTATCTAATTTTTTTCATAGGGTCAAGAATCTAAGATATGTGAAACTAATCATTACTTGCATCTCGGGACATCCTAATCAACTGGGGCCAAGTAAAATTCTAATTAACCGGAGCAAAGCTCTCATGAAATAGTATTTTTCAAACGTGTTGGCAAAAAAGTAATAGAATTTTTTTGAAGATATTTGATTTTTGTGAAGGCTGAATAATAAATACGGTAATGAATAAAAGATTTGATGAATACAAGGGTTAATTAGGTTGATTGGAAAAGATTCCGCATTCTCTAAACAACTTTTAAGAATTTAAATCTTGCTGATTAAGGAAAAAACTATGCTTGGAGTTATTTTTCATTTGTGGCCAACAAGAAAAGTGAATGCAAACCATTTATACTGGATACCAAAAGTTATACGAAAATAACAATTTTGTATTAAATAAAACTATGATAAACAATGTTGTAAATTTGATTCATTATACCTATATATTTATAAATTTAAAACAAGAAAATTCGACACAAAGGAATCACATATGCTAATCTAAAAAGGAATTATATTTATTAAAAGTAACATAGTTATGATTAAAAATGCATGGTTTAATTTTAAACGCTTCGTCGCTTTGACACAGTCCGAATCCCAAATCAGAATTCAGAGATGAGATATGAGAGGAGAGGCCCATTTGAATCTCCGAGAAAATGTGGAAACAAACAAGCAAAATTTGGTTAGCCCCCAATTTCCCCTCTAGCCTTTAGCACAAAAGGGAGAAAAACAAGCGTGTATGGGAAATGGGGGCGTACAGAGCGGAAGACGATTATGATTATCTGTTCAAGGTTGTGTTGATCGGTGACTCCGGCGTCGGCAAATCCAACCTTCTCTCCAGGTTCACCAAGAATGAGTTCAGTCGCGAATCCAAGTCCACCATTGGCGTCGAGTTCGCCACCCGAAGCATTAGCGTGGACGATAAGGTTGTTAAAGCCCAGATTTGGGACACCGCCGGTCAAGAAAGGTTCGTCCAATTATTAAGACATCAACTCATCGGACGATTTTACTTTTGCATTCGATAATGAAATGCTGCCTTGAGAGGCTTTTCTGTTTCTATCTTCTATGTTGCCTGGCGCTGAAGCGATCGATTTGAATTGGGCGTACGTTGATATGATGCCAAGATTGATTGCTTTTAGCACATTAAATCTGTCACCATTATGATCTTGTAGACTTTTCTGGTATAATGAAAGAAACTGATTAAGACGTTAACTGGTGTATGATCTGTACTTTCAAGGTTTGCGATATCTGAAGTTTCTTATAATAAATCTTTGTGAGATAAACTTATCGAGTAACATGATTTGAATCTGCATGATGACTACGTTATTGATTTTTGGGTCATATATGTTTCTAAGTTTAGTTTTTCATGAAATGAAGGTACCGAGCAATCACGAGTGCATATTACCGTGGAGCCGTTGGAGCTTTACTAGTGTACGACGTTACACGCCACGTAACATTCGAGAACGTGGAGAGATGGCTGAAGGAGCTAAGAGGTCACACAGATGCCAACATTGTGGTAATGCTTGTGGGCAACAAGGCAGACCTCCGCCACTTGAGGGCGGTTTCCGTTGATGACGCCACTGCCTTCGCGGAGCAAGAGAACACATTCTTCATGGAAACATCAGCACTGGAGTCCATGAATGTGGAGAATGCCTTCACAGAAGTTCTGTCTCAGATATATCGTGTGGTGAGCAAGAAGGCACTGGACATAGGGGATGATCCCTCGGCTTTGCCCAAGGGACAGACCATTAACGTCGGCTCTCGTGATGATGTATCAGCTATGAAGAATGCCGGATGCTGCTCTTCTTGACGAGTATACGCTCTTATATAATATAACCTATATATCTTCATCCATCTTTTTTGTCTGTTGTTTATATCCATGTATAGATTTCATTGGATTGTCTAGAGAGGTTCAAACTGTGAGCTTTGAGCTTTTGGTTTGTTCTTTGTAGAGAAATCTGTTCGCTATTATATTCATTTTTGTGATTGCACATTCCTTTTATCTCTTGTCTTTCTGTAAGAGGTGCAGATGGTGTTTTTACAATTCTTTCCCTTCAAGTTTTTACTATATTTTAATCAATATCAATATTTATTTGTAAAAGCTATACTGAACTGCAATATTCAAAATCAGTCACCTGCGTGGATTTTTCCTTAAAACGTGTCTATTTTTACTATATTTTAATCAATATCAATATTTTTTTTGCAATTATTAGATATTAGATGGCCCACTTTTAGTTGGAATTTATTCACGATAATCAATACACCAATCAATAGACACGCAAAAAAATTGTTTTTCTCCCGGATATAATTTTATGAGAAAATTTTCCCTCGAAATCTGGGGTAACATTAGCGAGAAAAGTTTATTTCTTTCGAAATATATGTTCGTGAGAGAAGTTTTGCAGATTAGCTATTATCCAAAATAATTTCTCATGGATTTTTATCTGCGCGGAATGAAAAAATTCTCACAAATTAGTGATTCGTGAGAATTTCTCATTTTTATCCCAAGAAAAATATTCCTCGCGGTTACCGTTGATGATTGATGAATGATTCACTACCATGTGCATTAAAATTTTAATTGAATATTTTTCATTTATGCTTTACAATTTTGAGCTTTAACATTGTAAGGCTTTGATTAAGATTACTCTAAAATTTTAGCTTTATCCACTTAATCTTGTCAACATGTAGTCTCAGAACAAGGCTCAAATATTTAAGCTGTAAATAAAATAGATCTTTGAAAAAAAATAAAATTAATCATATTGTTATTCTCAAGTTTAGTTATATAAGTTACTGCAGGATACTAATTAGATACTATTCAAAAAATTACACGTACAAACACTGACTGACACCCAATAAATTAATTTTGTTAAATTTACAAATAATACAGACAATCCATATTTTCTGAGATTTCTATTGACGTTGGCGAACCTTTCAAAATAAAAATATAGTGATTAATGAATATTGGTTTTGTTGGGGTGTGGGGGAGGTATCCAGCAATATTGCTATGGGACTTTTGCTTCAATTAATTACAAAAGTCATTATTTGTTTTGAAAAATATCTCTTTTACAAGTTTTCTTGAAAAATTGCATCTGGGCTCATACTACATACTTGATAGGTCATACATTTCTTGACAAACTAGGCATTAGAAAAGAAAAACTTGACCCACAAAATATATGACATTCATGACCCAACAAACAAGGAAAACATTTTCAGTAGCTCACATATTCACACACCAGTGCTCAGCGATTGCACCACAATTGCAAAAACATTACCCCAAAAAAAAGGCAAAAATATCACTGAGGTTCTACCTTTGTTGAAGGAAAGGCTCCACTATAGCTAAAGCCTTCATCATGGGCATAAGGACGGCGTAACTTGCCGCCATTTGCATCCACATCAATTTCTTCTGTTGTTGGATCTGATTCAGAAGCAGGGTTCAATCCAGCGAGCTCCATTATATTCTCAATTTCCTTTACCACCTCAGCCATTGATGGCCTCTCAGCTGCATATTCTTTGACGCACCTCATTGCCAGCTCCACAAACTTGTCCAAACCACGTGGAGTTACTTGGTTGATGAGTGGATCTATGATGGAATGGAGGTTGAATAGTTCTTTTGTTGTATCCATTACGTTCTGTACCTCTCTCACAATATATTTCCCTTTCTCTATTGGCCTTCTTGCTGTCACTAGTTCCAGCATCAGCACTCCAAAGCTATATACATCACTTTTTTCAGTCAACTGTTGGGTCATGTAATACTCAGGATCCAAGTAACCCTACAGACAAAATTGTTAGGGGGCAAAAAAGGGATGAGTTTTCATTCATTTGAAATTCAATTATATATTTCAGAACGAAATTTGGTGTCTTTTTCTTCCTGGGTTAAAATGACAGCGCAGAAATTTGAACCTAAGACATACGAACCATTGTCCCTTTGACTTGAGTAGTGATATGCCCCCTTTCACTATCAACAAGAAGCTTGGAGAGTCCGAAATCTGCGACTTTTGCGTTAAGGTGCTCATCAAGCAGAATATTGCTTGATTTTATGTCCCTGTGTATGATTGGTGGGTTGGCAAGTTCATGAAGATAGGCCAGACCCCTGGCTGCGCCCAGGGCTACTTTAAGCCTTCTCATCCAATCCATTCTGATCCCAGACTTTCCTACATAGACCAAGTCGCATAAAATATTAAGAAATGCATTTCCCAGACTGGAGAACTGTTTTATGGCAGTTTCTGATGTATTTGTCTTCAAACTAATTCTCATACATTCGGGCAAAAGAATGACAGAGCTCCAAAGAGATTTTTATACAGGGATTACCAACCATTCTGTTTTCTGACAAATGCATGTGAGTTGCATTAAAACACTCCATTCCTTTCTCAAATCAATACCATGGAGGAATATACAGGAACTTGCTAATTTCAAGTTTTAAATAAACTAGTCAGGCAAGCGGTAAAACTTGTAATAATATCAAGTTCTCCAAATTTATGCAGCGTATAAAAACAAGGGTATTAACATGTCCATTTTGTGGGAATTCAGCATTGGTAAATTTATATCAGGTATATGATCCAAAAAATTGACAACTGAGTGATGAACCACACATGTGTTGGAACTATCAACATAATTTCAAAAGCAAATGGGCAGATTAGCAGCCTATTTGATAATGATCAAAAGAAAAGAGGTGGGATGTGCTTCTTGAACAAGCTTTTGTCCTTGTTCTGCCCCATTTCTCTCTACATTCTTCTCTAGGACAAAACATGATATCATTCATAAGGAGAGAAGGGGCTGGAATTTAGGAATACCTGAAAGACTATCCATTAAAGTACCATTTGGGATATACTCATACACCAGCATTTGTTCACCATTCTCAAAACAGAAACCCGCAAGACCGACAAGATTCTTATGATGGACCCTTGATAGAAGTTCAATCTCAGTTTTAAACTCTACAGCACCCTGCATGGATTCTTCTGCAGCCCGTTTGATGGCAACTAGTTCTCCCGTGGGCAGAACAGCTCGGTAAACCTTTATAAATGAGGATTTATTAGCTATTACAGAACATTAAACAAAACAATAATTTTGGAAAATAGAACAATGTCTCTAAAGCTGGTGTCAGAAGAAAAATTCTCAAGGGTAATCCATAGAGAGTTCAAGTCTCCTGTCGTCCGATCATCTCAAGATTGTGTAATCATCTCAAAACTTACAAAAAATTTTCTTAACCAAACATGAATCTTAAGGCATGATCAGGTGACTAGGAGTGAGAGCCAGAGATTTTCCAAGCAATGCTCAATTGCTAAAAGCAAACAACAAAACAGAAGATACTGGGGAGATTTTGAGGGATTCTGGTCTTCCCAAAATTGTAAAATGAAAAGGATAGCCATGGGATAGTATTATTATGAACCTTTCCGTAGCCCCCAGATCCAACTGTGTTGTCTTCAGAGAAGTTGTTGGTGTATTTCTTCAGCTCTTCTAAAGAAAACCACCGTGCTCCTTTTAACTGAGGAGCCATGCCGTTGTTCTTGTTCAGTTTCCAGTTTGCTGCATTAGCTTGGCATGTGATCAACAGAAGACTGATAGAAAAATTCTTTACGAGGGACAAATATAAGCAAAATCTGCATCAAACATATCTTACCAAAAGGGTTCAGCTCAGCGGACCCTTTTGCTCTTTTCTTTTGACGTACAACATATATCCCTGCAAGGAGTGCTACTGCCAGAAAGACCACAACAGCAACTACTACGCCAACTATAATCCCTATATGGGACGACTTCTTTGATTCATTTCCTAAATGACGTGAGAGAGAAGAATGAGCATTACAGAGTTTAGCTTTTTCATGCATAGCGAGACACTAATTACCTGCATAGTACCCATAGTCATCAGCAATGAAGAAGTAAGGAAGGAAAAATTTTGGGGCCTTAAGAAGCTGGCTGCTAATCACAAAAGCGATATTTGAAACTCCAGTTCTATTGAAACGATCACTTGAAGACGGAAATACTTTCAGGGACACTTCAAAATAATCAGTAGATGCATTCCTGAACGGATTACTTAGAGAAACAGAATCCACCGGAAGATTTTGTGATTGAAAAGCAGTCATCAGAGACAGCTCGAGTTCCTTATAATAACTTCCATTACCAAGGTCTGAGAAACTAAGAGCTCTGGCATACAGAGTTCCACTGTACGGATGTGAACATTTGCAGTTAGGACTGGAAATTTGACCAGAACTGCAAGGAGGAGGTGAGCAATTATTTGGCAGCGTTGAATATATGGAATTGGATTGGGATTCTTGGCAGTAACGTTCAGTAGAAGCTTCTGCTTCAAGGCAAATCCGGTTGCGAGCTAGTCTGCAAAATTTTTAGATAACTGCCTCAGAGGAGAAAAACCATAAACCAGCGGTTTGGGTTAAGCTGGGTGAAGTTGACATGAAATCATAAGTTAAAATTAAAAAAGAATAGGGGATAGGATTGAGCCGTGAAACTTACACAACTGAAACTTTATAGTTCATGTTTCTCTGCGTGAAATCAGTGATTGTATTATTCTCCAAATCAATAAGTTTTAAGCGGTTGCTATCGGCATTGCCAATATCTAAGGTGCCACTGAGCTGGTTGCTCTTCAACACCCTGTTCCCAAAATTCAACACACCATCTTATAGCCATCATCAGAACATGTGTTCAAGAAGTAATTGGATAAATGCGGGCATATTTTTGTCATTTTGCACATCCATATCTTATTTAATGAGATAGTACTACTCACACAGTCTCTAAACTGGGCTGGTTAAATAAGGAGACAGGTATCTGCCCTCCAAGGTTGGTGTTCTCCAACTTTCTGACATAAGTAAGCTTTATCAATATTCAATACTTGAGACAATCTTGTGTCTTGAAAGATATCCATGCTCACAGACAGACTTATTCAAACAGAACAGATAAAGGAAAAGAATGAAAAGCATCGGAGGGAGGGAAATGATAGAGATGGCGTACAATGTTGTCATCAACGGCAAACTTGAAGCCCATGAAGGAATATCGGAAGAATCGAAAGTATTGTTGCTCAGATCTCTGCCGACAATTTTATGGAAATATGAAAACACAAGAACTCTGAATAGATATTCAAGCATATACGTATATGCAAATCCTGGACTTCTGAACAAGATGGAGGTAAAAGTATTTGACAGTTACTTCTAAGCTAAATGAAACAAGTCTTATTAAATCCCCGCAATTTTAATGAATCTCACACACTACTGCTTTACTACTTACACATAGGTTAGAAGATTCATTCCGGTAAGATCTGGCAGTGGACCTCTCAACCTATTATTTGATAAATACCTGAAAACATAGAGTCAATGTTTCCCTCAGTCAAATGATCTTTAAATAGAAAGACCAGCTTACTGATGGGCATCAATTCGAGTTTTGCATGTTTAGTTGGTCCTCTTACAGATCACTAAGATTTCTGAGATTGCTGATATTCGAAGGTACACTTCCACTTAGTTGGTTCCTATCAAAACGGCTGTTGAAAAGGGGGAAAATATTAATTACAGTAAAACATCAAAGTATTTCAGGAACATTAATGTTGTGAAATGATGATTTCACTTGTGGTAAGATCCTTACACTGCCTCCAATGAGTTCACCACCCCAATGGTACTAGGCATACCGCCACTTAATTGATTGCTGTCAAAAAGCCTGGCCAAAATAACATAGGTGAGGATGGAAAGTCAGGTCAACATGTCTGCTGATCTCAACATATGAGTAAAAACCGAAACATACAAAACTATTTAGTGAGAGGTTCCATGCGGAGAAAAGAAGATACTGTAAAGTTCTAATTGATCTTACACATGGACCAGACTCATATCTGAATGAAAAAGTTGAGCTGGGATTCCACCTGAGAGCCTGTTGTTTCCCATGTGACTGCAAAAGGTGGACATAATCTTAGATCCTTTACACTGAGCCAGGAATTATCCATTCAAGCCAATGCAAGATATTATCAACAAAAATTGAGGATTAGAGTTGCCATACAAGTGCTTTGCCTTAAGCAGCTTCTCAAGTCCAAGTACTCCTTGCCCAGAGATTGGGATAGCTCCTTCAAGGTGGTTATCAGAAAGGTCTAGCCAATTAATATTGGATAGATTGCCAATGGTAGGTGGAATGTTTCCACTGAACTGGTTGGAGTTCAGAGCTCTGCATGGAAAGCAATAAGATGATAGGTCATACATAATTTACCAATGTGGTGTTAGACCAGAGCAGAAACCGAGATAGCCAACATAGATATTTTCTTTGAAACATCATATTTTGGTATATTTACTTTAACTTGGGATCTAAGACAGTTCTTATTTGTGTAGTCATTCTCGGATATAGCAACAGAATTGTTAAAGATGAAAATCCTTACAGAAAATTCAGCTGCTGCAAAGATCCTATTGAATCGGGAATACTGCCAAAGAAACTACAACCAACCAGTATACTGGAAAACAATGAGAAACGCAATAGATCAGTTCAGGAAAAAATTTTGTGAGGGAAAAGTAAAGATGAAAATGAAAAAAAATTTTAATGAGCAGGAACTCAACAGAAGATTCAGTGTTTATTACAGTTATTTTTACTGTCGGGTACTAGTTGACTTCCTTACAGGGTTTTTAATTTTCTCAAATTTCCAATCTCTTTCGGAATTGTTCCTGTCAGGCCCTTGTTGTAAGAGAGATCCCTATATGAATAAAAGATGTGAGCATTCATAAGCCAAAAAAAAAAAAAAGAAAAGGATGAACGGGCAAATAGTAGTTTAAGTACTTAATCAAATTAGCTGTGTTTAAGTCACTTTGAGAGTAGAAAAAGTTCAAATAGAAAACTCACAATGTGTCTAACTCAGATAATAACTGGATATCTGAAGACAGCTTGCCGACCAAATTCATGCTTGCTAATATTCTAAGGAAAAAAAAAAAGTCAAGACAGAAAAAGAAATAAAAAAATTAAAATTATATTGAAGGAGCCAAAGAACTGACATTGACGTCACTCTTAAATTGGTGCATCGAATTCCTTCCCAGCCACTGCCACAAGGATCTGAACCCACCCAGCTTGGTGGTTTGTTCTGCCAAGATTCTGTGAGAGATTGTAGGGAAACAACTGCAGTGGTGCAATATGCATAAAATATTGTTAACAAATGCTAAACTCTCTAATATATCTTCGTAATACCAAATGAACACCTACATCTTCTGAGAGTTAAGCTTTCAAGATCACGTCAAAAATGAATGAATAACAAAAGGAAGTCCTATTACAAGAGATGCTCTGTCCTTTTTTTCTCCCAAGCCTTTTTTATTCACTTTAACATGCAAGTTCAAGTCATTAGTCAAGCTTTCGCAAAGTGTTTCCAGTTCATATTGTAGTCAGTCACTCAACAGAAAGAAAATGCTATGGCCAAACAACTTAAATTACGCGATTCAACAATTTAATAGTCAAAACTTTGGAAAGTTATTCTATGAATATGAACATCAGCAAAGGAAGAGCTAGTAATACAATATTATAAACGGCTTCAATAAGAGAGTTCCTAAGTAGTTTTGCACATTAGAATTGAAGGTGCAGAGCTCAACTGTCAAATCCAGATTAGCAAATTAGATTTTGTCTAAGGATATTGATGGTAGAAATTTCCAGGCACAAGAACTTTCATAACTTGAATGCATAAACATAGATTTCGGCACTCCTTATGTGGAAATGAAGACAACAGAAACAGAAACAAATTTTAGTTACTTGTAGTTTCTTTTCTCTTAAAATAAAAACCTGAAGCCATAACTTCCCCGAAAGGTTGCCCAAAATAGACTAACAGACGTTAGTCATGTCCTTCTCGCCCTAAGAGCACCAAAATGTGATCTAAAAACTAATGACGAAATGGCCTTATTCATTTGCATGAATGTGAAAAGAGACAAGAAATAGCTGTGAAAAATATAAATCAAAAGCCAAAGAAAGTGTAAAGCAGTTGAAAATATCCCAAAGTTTGATTGAACTTACAATCCTCATAGGAGCTCTGTGCCGATACCAGCAGAGATTGGCATAGAAGCAGTAGCAGAAACACTTTAAATACTTGTTCCATTTCTCAAAGATCCGAAATCTGTTCAGAACTTTCAGTTCAAAGTTAATACCATGGAATAGCCAAAACTGAAAAAGAGCACCATCTATTTACGTGGGAAACAAAGCTTGTGGCGCAACCAAATTGAATTCACAGTAGACCCCTGTTCAAGACGGCTAAATAGTACATTTGATCACATCAATAGCTTTAGCATGCCAATTCCGGTCTCTAACATGTATAAACAGTTCTAATCCAGAACACGGGAAGTATAAAGATTCTTGACTGAATCCTTCTCATATTTACAAAAGAAGAAAGCTCAACTTTAACATGCACCAATTCTAAAACAAGGAAGGAAGATAATACAACCACATTTTAAGAGTAAATTGCAATCTGAATAGTGTTTTAAATTTTGTTGAGGAAAAATAATTGAGAACTAGATCATCATATACAATGAGACATTTGGCCACTTTGTTTGCCGTCCGAAGCGATTAAAATAATCCAATAAACGTAATATACTGCCAAGAATTCAGTCACTTTTATTTCTCTGTCAACAGGTCAGAGCTAGAATGAACCCTCTAATTTGCATAAACTATGGTCTGAGTTCTCCTATGCATCGAATATTACATGGTACAGACAAAAAATGGCCATTTAAAAGATTTCAGAATTCTCAGGAAACTGCCTCGTGGTCGGGACAGGCTTGGAGCAGCCTGTGTTTTTTTGTACGTAAGCGCGTTGAAGCAGAAGCCAGCCGGAGCTGGTGTGCCGGAGGCATATAGTATCATGGTTTCGTAGCAGACAAAAACACAGAAATAAAAATTATGGAAAATGAAACAGACTCCTCTTCTTCTTCCTCCTCCCGTTCTGCATCCAATTTTAGAAATGAGAACAAGTCATGATTGACTAGCAGTCTGTTTGATTTTCATGGCTGAACCCTGAAGAGTAAGGCGGCAGCATGTTGCTTGCGTAAGCCCAAATGTGAAAGAGCCTTTAGTTTAATCTTGATGGTGATAGCTTCTCGTATGCTCCCAAGATACTACTTCCCATTGCATGAGGAAACAACTTCTTGTTGTATCTTTAAGACTATCTGGGCTTTTAATTTTTAATCAAAATCATGAGCTTTCATCAGTTAATAACTCATTTACACCCAAAATTCCTCCTAATTCGTTTGATAACTGCTAATAACGATGACACATAATTTGGATTAAACTAATTTTCATTTAAACTGAGCCAAACCTGAACCTCAATGTATAAAACTATAAATCCAAATTAGACTTTTATTTTTGTATTGCATGGATTAAAAGTTAAGTATTCTTAGTTTGGAAGTAGTACTGGATGTTGGTATGTATAGTTTTTGGAAGACAGGCTACTCCGCTGCGTAACCCGTCAAAACAGTGGTCTCTTTGAAGAATGTTATCTCATTTCACCAATTCGCATGCTTTGAAAACTACCACTTGATTGTTCACCTGAAATAAATATAAATCAGCAAGTTTATGACAAAGCATGTGACAAAAATTCGGATAAGAGATTTCCCGCCATGGAAAATCCTTATCAAAACCAATAACGCTGCATTTTAAAAAAACTGAATTTAAACGCAGCACCATACAATAATGAGCAACAAAGTCAACACGGTTCTTTCTTTCCTGCAAGATTTGCTCTAATCACTACCTTAAAATACTGACACGGAAAAGGGACAAATTGTTGTTTTATTTATGGATGTTTGTTGAGGGGGTCTTTATGAGCCGCTAGTCTTTTATTTAAGCAAGGACAAACATGTAGTCCTATGATTTTGAGGGAACAAGGTAACTTCCCAACAGTTTCCTTGGGCAGTGCAAGCGAGCTTTTTTTTTTTTTTTTTTTACCTCAATCAAATTACTTAGCATCAAAAAAATCATGTTGAACTCTGACTATTGTGATTCTAGTTAAATAAAGCCGCAATTCTCCTTACAATTTTTAATCATTTTAAGAACTTCTCTTCACAAATTTTTGAAACCATTATGTATTTAGGATTTGAATACAAGACTATTGACCATAATCTCCCAAGTGGTTGGCTAGGTCCTCCTGGCCATGGGCCAGTAAGTCCTTTTCTGTCAATTTGATTATAAAAATGGTTGAATATGAGCCAAATCATAATTTTAAAAATAATTTTACAGAATACAAAATAAATACTTCAGAAGAGTTTATTGCATCTATAGAACTGCAATGGGAATTAAGAAAGGGGGACATGGAAGAAAAGATTTTTTTAGGTAATATTTTTATGATTTTATTATCATTATTAAAAAACTGCATTTTTTTTTATAATTACATTCTTGTTTAGTTCATTTTATTTTTACCAGACTCTGGTTCATAGAGTGAGCTGCGTTTTGTTGGATTCTAGTGCCGGCTTCAAGTTTTGCTGCCGGCGGGATTTTATATCATGACAATGCATTTTGTCGCCGAAAACGAAAAAGTCTAGTGAGGCGACACCAAGGAGAGTAGGACCAATTAAAGAGAAAATTAAGCATACGTATTGACTATTGAATGGCTGGAAAAAACATCACAACGAATTAACGTAGCCATTTTATCACGCAACACAAAACAGTAGAGATGATTACATCGTCATCCATCTTCCTCCATGAAGGCCCCTTTTATTATTTTTTTTCAACATTGAATCATTTTCAGCCCACATAGGTTCAACACGGAGGGGGAAAGGTCATAGGCCCAATAAAAGCAGTGGAAAAAATGGTATATGGATCATCGAAAGGGCCTGGCCAAGGCGAAATACGCGTCAGGTTTTACGGACACCAGCAACTCTAAAACAATTATCTCACTTGGACGAGAAATCTTGAGACCAGGTTCAATAATACCTGCTTGTGAGAATTCAAAGGTCCAATTACGTCATTAATAGCAGCTTATGCTAAAGCAGAAGCAATTGATAAAAGCGATTAAAACCTACCTGGGGAAAGCTTTTTCCCTTGATAGAGTTCCTTTGCTAGAGGGTTGGCGGCCCAGAGGTTCACAGCCACCCACTCCAAGGGTTGAAAACCAATTATCTCCCATCGCTAGAGAAAACCACCTGAAAATTTCAAACTCGTTGTGAACACTGGCTTCATATCATCTATTCTGATAAATTATTTCTTTGCATGATATAATCTTCCCTATCTGCATCCTAATTTTTCAAAAATACCTTGCTCCCATACCTGCAACATAGTTAATAGTGTATACTCCTCTTCACTTCCAAGTTGCAACACAAAAAGTGCATTTGCCAGTGCAAGAGCAAGACAAATAAAACAGTTGCAAATCTGTAGTACCTGATAACTAGCAATGTCCTGTATAGCCACTTTTGCTGCATCTGCATCCATATTCTCTGAGTAGAAAGAGCTGAAACAACTTCACCATCAGATATAGATGCCCCCAATGTTCTCATGTAGCTGGCAGTTTTCCAGTCCAAACTCCAATGCCATCTTCTTTTCATAATATCACCCGACCAGCCAAAAGCATCTTTGACTTTCATAATAGCTGAGACACAAAACTCTTCCAACTGTCCCTATAAAAGGTTCGAACAAGAAAAAAACACTACTCTTTAAACCAAAGTAAAAGGTATTGTAAACCATGGAATAATCAGTAAGCATATGCTATGAAGAAAAACAAGCGTTATCCCCAAAAGATGGGATTGGCTATATGAATCGCAATAATGTCATTGTGATCAATTACAACCAAATGTTATAAGAAACAAACGAATAAAAACACATGAGTTTCCCCACAAGCAATTCATGAGGGGTGCTGCCCAAGTATATTTCATGGCACACGAATAGCGTCAAAAATAACGATGGCAGGGCACCTGCAGTGCTAAGATCAACACAGATTTTAACCTTATGGACTTGTCAGATTATTTCAACACTCTCCCACGGTTTGCATAAAGTATAATTTACAGTGCTTAACGAAAGCACAACCACATCTAGATTCAATCTTTTGAAGCTAAATCATCAGATGGACTTCAAATATTCTAGCTGATAGCCATCTGGAAGCATAATGGAAAAACAGCAAATCAGGTGCTACGTTACTAAGGACTTTCTAGTTTCCAATTCTTTCAGTAAGCAAATTCTGCATATAAAAATTTACCACATAATCATAAAAAAGGATAGATTGCTTACCTTATTTACATCCAAAGAATTCATCTAATGTACTGTGGACTTCAGATGATGACAGAGATCTAAGTTCCCTGAGGCGTTTTTCCCTCCTTGGTAAATGAGGCAAATAAAGTCGGCCAAGAGCATTGTGATTGCTACAAGAAAGATGCCACTTGCAAGGGTAACTGACAACAGTCTTAATAGAGAGCTCCCCCTAAGGAAACAAAATTGATCATGTATATTAACATGGACTTCATCATTCAATACAGCATTGAAACACCAAAACTCTAAAGTTGTGTTCATTATTAATGAAATGGAGAGATTAGTAAAATCAGTTAATTGCCCTGATATTCAGATAGCCATTATAATAGATTCACTATAGCTTAACCTACACTTACAGAATAAGAC